CAACCAATAAGCATAGGTTTCACTTTTGTTTGTGGACCAAGCTTTTTGAACAACACGGAATGAGAGATAGGCATACATTTATGCGCGGCTAAATAAAAGGCAAAAAAAAAAAGTTTTGCATGAAATAATTCTCATACTAAGTACTTTTGCATGCACAGCAGCACAGAAACATGACAAAACAGTGACACAGCAAAGACGAACTGCTGCTCTTGCTGTTTTCAAAAGACGCAAATGAAGATGCAGCTGTTTGTCTGCATTGCATACAACCACATCCAAATCCACAGACAACCATATCCATGCTGGCACATAAAACCTAAGGATGTTCCATTTTGAATCTAGTTTCGTCATGTACCTATTTATAGTATAGTAATTATTTATATCAATTTTTAACTGAGGATTTGCATCATGTTTATTTGGACTTTATTTGGACTTTGACACATTATTTATTATTTTCTTATTTTTTTTTATTTGTTCATTGTAAGTGGTGTTGTTTATAGTAACTAAAAATATATTATTTGGAAAAAGTCAAATTTGCTTCACTGTTCTATTATTTTGTAACATTTGTAACATACCGTATACCGCGAAACCGTCAAACCGTGGTATTGTTTTAGACGATTATCATACCGTGAAAAATTCATACCGTTACAACCCTAATTGGGATGCAGTTCAACAGATGACTTTTCCAAATGATCAACTAGAAGTCAGGTTATTATTTGTTGCTCTTACAACTGGGATCGACGACAAGACTTTTGTCAGCTAGTGTAGTCAGATATAGATAAAATAAATAATTAAAAATGAGTTATTAAAACTGTTATGTTCAGAAATGTGTTGAAAAAAATCATTACATTAAACAGAAATTGTGGGGAAAATATGCAGGGGGCTAATAAATCTGTCTACAACTGTAAATGCATGTGTCAATTAAAGCTCCTGAGATAAACAATACACAAGTCACATCAACAGATCTACATTTTCAGACATCACCGGGCGCCGCTCTGAAACGTCTGGTGTGTAGGAGTGCGACTGTTCTCTTTCAGGTTGTCTGCCGCGGTGCAGACATGAGGCTTAACAGGCCATTATGCAGTGTGTTTTGAACAGTGTGGGTGTGCTGCACGGAGCTTTTGTGTGTTGCTCTGTGTGTGTTTCAGCAGATTGAAGGCCTGGTTAATGACACTGGCAGGATTACTTCATAACAGCGGGATGATATTAGAGATGAGGGAGGTCAGAGCTTTACAGATTAGGGACAGGACACACACACGTATGCTGGATAATGCTGCATTTCATTCGATTGCCTTACAATGAAGTTCAGATGTACATGCTGCATGATATCAGATAATGCTTATGATATAGCATGGGGAGGCATTATTGCTGCATGATATTGGACAAATATGACATTTGATATACATTACCATCTGAATATCATTTTACTAGATTATCTGAAAAGCAGGATGGCATGGTGGTTCAGGGGTTATCACTGTCAATACATATATTATATTATCTTTTATTATATTATATTATATTATATTATATTATATTATATTATATTATATTATATTATATTATATTATATTATATTATATTATATTATATTATATTATATTATATTATGTTTTATTATATTATATTATGTTTTATTATATTATATTATATTATGTTTTATTATATTATATTAAATTATGTTTTATTATATTATATTATATTATATTATATTATATTATATTATATTATATTATATTATATTATATTATATTATGTTTTATTATATTATATTATATTATATTATATTATATTATATTATATTATATTATATTATATTATATTATATTATATTATATTATGTTTTATTATATTATATTATATTATATTATGTTATATTATATTATATTATATATATTATATTATATTATGTTTTATTATATTATATTATATTATGTTTTATTATATTATATTATATTATATTATATTATATTATGTTTTATTATGTTTTATTATGTTTTATTATATTATATTATATTATATTATGTTATATTATATTATATTATATTATATTATATTATATTATATTATATTATATTATATTATATTATATTATATTATGTTTTATTATATTATATTATATTATATTATATTATATTATATTAAATTATATTATATTATATTATATTATGTTTTATTATATTATATTATATTATATTATATTATATTATATTATATTATATTATATTATATTATATTATATTATATTATATTATATTAAATTATGTTTTATTATATTATATTATATTATATTATAATATGTTATATTATATTATATTAAATTATGTTTTATTATATTATATTATATTATAATATTTTATATTATATTATATTAAATTATGTTTTATTATATTATATTATATTATATTATATTAAATTATGTTTTATTATATTATATTATATTATATTATATTATATTATTTTATTTTATTATATTATATTATATTATGTTTTATTATATTATATTATGTTATATTATATTATATTATATTATGTTTTATATTATATTATATTATATTATTAATAGCGTTAATGTAAGCCTTTGGAATAGTTTTCTCTATAGCTCCATTCTCAATAATGAATGCAGCTCCGCACTAATGACCAATAATAGCAGCTGATATGCAAATTGGTGAGCAGGTAGTCATTAGATATTATAAACAATGTGCCATCTGTCTGTTGGTTGCTCCTGCTACGCCGCTTCTTCAGGAACAAGTGACAACAGCTAATTTGTGGCTGAACACTGAACATGTTTGACAGTGTAAACACACAGAAGGCCTGCTGGGATGTGCCTTACTGGATTTGACCAATAGAAGTTGATTGTATGGAACATCACTTAACAATGAGTCTGTGTGTGGCATTTCTTATTTACTGTATATGTCAGTATTGCTGTGCATAATAGAAATGTACTCTATATAACTCTTTGTGGCAATTATTATGATAACATGCATGAATCGTTGTATCTGTATTTCATTACGTGTGTCTTACATGTTTAAATGTACTGCATTTGTGTGTGTGTGTGTGTGTGTAACCTTTTGAAATGTTTAAAATATGGACAACTCCGTCCTTTTTTAATTATTTCAATTTAATAGAGAATTTTTTTGTCCTGATTATTGTTATGACTGATTTGAACAATTATAATTGCAATTTTATTACATACATTTTTTTATATTGTATGTAAATATGTTTGTAAATTGCATAACATAAAAAGTAACATTTTAGTAATTTGCTTAAATTACACATTTTTTGTTTTCTTGTAATCGGTTTTTCTTAATATGTAATAAATAAAATATTTTTTATTTATTTGATAAATATAGATGTTTAAATAACTAAAAAATGGAAAAAAAACGTATATATATTTAAGTTATACTATATATATATATGTGTGTGTGTGTGTGTGTGTGTGTGTGTGTGGTGTGTGTGTGTGTGTGTGTGTGTGTGTGTATTTTCAATAATTTCTTGTCCATTAATTTTGTCATTTTTAGTTTTATTCTTTTTTGTTTTAATATTTTTCATTGAAATTCTATTCAAATAAAAAGAAAAATATTATTTTATTAACATTTTTCCAATAGTTTATCATATTTTCATTTTTAAGTTCATTAATTATATCCATTTTATTCTTAATTTTGTTGTCATATTTTGTATATTTTTAATTGAGATTTTAAATAAATATGCTAAAAAATGATAAACATAGTTTTTTAATAATTTATCATATATTAATTTATTTCATCTTCATTAATTGCATATATTTTTTTCATTTTATTTTTTGTTTTATGTTTTAATTTTTTTATAATTTATATGAGATTTTAAATAAAAAAATAAATAATCAAAGTATTATTAAATAAATATTTGTCCTGTTATTTATAATATTTTCGTTCATTAATTGCATCATTCTTCATTTTATTCTTAGTTTTGTTTTAATATGTTTTAAAATAATATTAAATGAGATTTCAAATTGTAAATAAGCAAAATCCACATTTTTCCAATAGTTTGTCATATTTTCAGTTGTTTGTTTATTAATTATAAATTTTTATTCTTAGTTTTGTCATAAAACTTTTGTATGTTTTTAAATGATATTTCAAATAACAAACAAATATGCAAAATATTATTTAATATTAAATTAAATATTAATAAATATGCAAAAAAATTATATAATATTTTCATTCATTTCATATTTATTAATTGTATATTTCTTTCCATTTTAATCTTAGCTTTGTTTTAATATTCAAAAAAATATTTTTAGTGAGGTTTTAAATAAATAAAATATAAAATATTATAATTTCTAAATATTTGATTTAAGTTATTTAATTTAGTTTGTGTTCATTAATTATTCATCATTTTAACTGTGTTCTTAGTTTTATTTAAAAATTTTGCAAATAAGTAAAATATTATAATAATTTACAATATTTTCATTAATTGAATTTTCATTAATTGTGCCATTTTTAATTTTATTCTTATGTTTTATGTTTTAATATTTTTTATCCTTTTAAATAAGAAAAAAAAAAAATATATATATATATATATATATATATATATATATATATATATATATATATATATATATATGTCCAATGATTTATAATATTTTCGTTCTTTAATTGTATAATTTTAAATTTTATTCTTAGCTTTGTTTAGTTTTAGGTTTAGACATATCATTTGTTTAGACATATTATAAACATTTTCTTCTTAGTAGCACTTTTGCATAGTTCTCCTCTCTGCGCCTGATGGTTATTCTCCATCATTGTTATGAGGCACGAGTCCTGCATTCAGACAGGCAGAGTCATGCTGTGTGTTATCCAGCAGATTTCTGAGAAACCAGAACTCTTCATTTCTCAGTCTGAAGTCAGAGCTCCTTTAGCTTTCCCACTTTCCACTGGAAGATGCTAATAAAAATTTCATGACGCTTGTTGTATGTTTCTTCAGCCTGTTTGAACTTGCTTCTGTGTGTGTGTGTGTATTTGTGTGCGCAGGCCGCTTGTGTGCCCGTCATGCTGAGTAACGGCTGGGAGCTTCCCTTCTCCGAGATCATCGACTGGCGGACGGCTGCTGTCATCGGGGACGAGAGACTTCTTCTACAGGTAACACTTCCAGAAAACATCAAAACCCCAAAAACAGACTCAGATTGTGTGATGCGTTGTGTGCTCCTGTGGTGTTTGTGCTCCTGCTTGTACCTGATGTCTTTTTGCTGCATATGTGGACAGAAACTGAAATGCATTCTAGTTAGAACTGTCAGTCAAATCCCATTTGTTATCTAATCAGTTACACAATGACGCAATTGAGTAATTGAAGAATTTACAAACTAATTGCATGTTAAATTTGTCAGAGAATTTACCCCCAAAGTCAGCCTTTGAGGTCATTATTGGGTTATATGTGAAAAGCTTCAATTAGAACACATACACTTACCGGCCACTTTATTAGGTACACCTTGCTAGTACCCTGTTAGTCCCCCTTTTGCCTTCAGAACTGCCTTAATCCTTCATGGCATAGATTCAACAAGGTACTGAAAATATTCCTCAGAGATTTTGCTCCATATTGACATGGTGGCATCATGCAGTTGCTGCAGATTTGTTGGCTAGACATCCATAATGCGTATATCTCGTTCCACCACATGCCAAAGGTGCTCTAATGCAGTGGTTCTCAAACTGTGGTACGTGTACCACTAGTGGTACGCGGGCTTCCTTTTAGTGGTACGCAAAGGAATGAAATATGTCATGTACATGCTACATATATTTCAAAATATATATCAAAAATGATGTATATAATATGCCATATATGACTTATAGCTTATATTTCTGAGGTAATCTGCCACGTTTTTTTTTAGCTGTGCAGAGTTGTAGCTGCTTTACTGGGCCTACCACGCTACTGTATTTCAATACTGCTCATTTTGGTGGTACTTGGAGAGAATTTTTTTTCTGAGGTGGTACTTGATGAAAAAAGTTTGAGAACCACTGCTCTAATGGATTGAGATCTGGTGACTGTGGAGGCCATTTGAGTACAGTGACCTCATTGTCATGTTCAAGAAACCAGTCTGAGATGAGTCGCGCTTTATGACATGGCGAGTTATCCTGCTGGAAGTAGCCATCAGAAGATGGGTACACTGTGGTCATAAAGGGATGGACATGGTCACCAACAATGCTCATGTTGGCTGTGGCGTTGACACGATGCTCAGTTGGTACTAATGATCCCAAAGTGTGTCAAGAAAATATCCCCAACACCATTACATTACAACTACCAACCTGAACCATTGATATAAGACAGGATGGATCCATGCTTTCATGTTGTTGATGCCAAACTCTGACCCTACCATCCAAATGTCGCAGCAGAAATGGAGACTCATTAGACCAGGCAACGTTTTTCCAATCTTCTATTGTCCAGTTTTGGTGAGCCTGTGTGAATTGTAGCCTCAGTTTCCTGTTCTTAGCTGACAGAAGTGGCACAAGGTGTGGTCTTCTGCTGCTGTAGCCCATCTCCCTCAAGGTTGGACGTGTTGGATCATCTTGACCATGTCTACATGCCTAAATGCGTTGAGTGGCTGCCATCTGATTGGCTGATTAGAAACTTGTATTAGCGAGCAGTTGGATAGATGTACCTAACAAAGTGGCCGGTGAGTGAATATAATTTTCTGTCTGTGTGTGTGGGTAGTATATTACGGGTGCAATGGTTCACAAAATGTATGAATAAGATCTATTCTATTCACCTTATTCTCCACGTACGAGAGGGCACAGCCATCTGAACCTTTTTGGCTTAAGACTTCCGGTCTCATTCACCTTCATTCATTTTTAGACATTAAAAACAGCTCGTTCTCCTGCTTGAAGATGCAAACTTATGTTTTCTTATGTATTATACTATATCTTATCATGTTAAAATCTAATCTTAATTTATCGTAAGATATTATTATTCTAATATCTCATTATATTATTCAATTTTGTCTGTATAGTCATGGAAACACTTGTTTGAGGAACACTGAAAAAAAATATTCAGAGATAATTCCTTGGATTTACTCAATTTCTTACGTTAAGTGGTTGTAAACATTTTATTTGTGTTGAATTTAAAAAACAAATGAAGTTGAACATTATTAAACTTAATTTGTTTGTTTAAATTCAACAAAAATAAATAGTTTGCAACAGTTCTGCATGCAACACTTTTTCCAGTGGACCGTTTTCTGCCGTTTATTTTTCCTTGTCATTTCTCCCATAGGCAGCTGAATCGAAAGTTCTAAAACAGTTGCAATAACGAGCGCACTTCCACATTGAAGAATAAGGTCAATATGACACGAGTCATACGTTTTTTGTTAAAAATATGTAATCTTCATATAGTATAACAGGGACACTTAAAAGTCTGGTCTGACATCATTAACAAGGAAAAGCATTGGCCCAATTTAAGTTTGTGAACTCCCAGTTGGTTTGTGTAGTTTGAAACAACTTGTCAAAGCAGATTATTTGAACATGTTTGCTTGATCTAGTAAACACCTTTGATGTAGTATTAGTTTTTGGCCGTGATGGTTGCTGTGATTCTTCGAGGCTTCGTTTACTTCAATGTGGAAAATGTCTTTGGTTTATTTTGGTTGTTTAGTCAGTCAGGCACCAGTAAAACCATGAATATTCTCTCTGTACTTCTAATCGTGTCAATTTGCACAACTCTTTTATCGGATGCTTTCTTGAATACGATCTTTTTTTATTAATGATCATTGCCTTTGTTGTTTATTTGTTATTTAGAGGAAAGCATGTTGGAAATACTTGCATATTAATCTAAATTCAACTCTCACCTGCGATATACAGTGGGGGAATAAGTATTGAACACGTCATGGTTTTCCCAGCAAATAATGTTTCTAAGAGTGCTTTCACACTTGGTTTATTTGCCTGGACCTTACCCAAGTTCGATTGTCTCCCCTTGTCACTAAGGGTGTCACGATCCTCCAAATCCTCGATTAGATTACATTTTCGATTCTAAAGGCACGATTCGATTCGATTTTCGATTATGAATAATTAATTAATTAATGACCAATTAATTATTTGTAGCCTACCATTTAAACTACCTGACCTGCATGGTCTTTTTTTTACCCATAAATAAATCATACAGTAAATGAATAAAGGCAAGATACACACATAATGACCACCTGTCAATCACTTTTTTCTGCGGGACTCGTGAAGAGGCAGTGATCTGTGTCATTATAATGGCGTCGGTAAAAAAGACGCACAACCAACAGGAACCAGCCAACAGTATCTGAGGTGTTCGCTAAAATGACTAAGTACAAGTGAGTGAAAGATTGAAGCAGTCCTCTGACTGCCTGGACCTCGAGCGCATGGCTGTGAGTGCATCTGTGTCTGTGTGGTCACGTGATGTGCATTTTCAGAGGTAGAAAGGAAGGAGGGCTGCTTAGAAATGCCACACGCCACTGTGGATGTCAAATCGTTGTCGTTCTAAAATGCCATTTAAAAACAAAGACAGTGTAAACAGGGCCTGAGTGTGTACTTTTCGCGAGCAGATTTGCAACGGGGGCGGGCGGAGGATCGCGATGCCGTTGTTGTCTATCGGACGAACCGTACGTAATACGTACATAGCAGAGCTTGCAAAACGGTGTTTTTTTTTTGTCCACAACACGAACGTTGTCAACATAACTCACTGGAAATCCAAAATGCTTCCACACCGGCGACTTCATTGAAAGAGGAGAGGGTTTAAGTTCTGTCGACGGGTCTCCTGCTTCAGCAGTTTAACAAGCACTTCAACAAGCCTGTTTTTTTCCCGCTCAGCAAGCCAAGCTGACGTGACATGGGGGCGTGGTAGCATCGACGATTCTATTTTTTGATTCGATAATCGAAATTGAGCATAAATTTCGATCGATTTCGATTAAAAATCGAAATCGTGACACCCCTACTTGCCACCTCATCGGTTGGTTTGTGTTCACACTGTCTTTTTTCCTTCTGAACCCCGGTACGCTTGCGTCATCGAGCTGCTGTTTTGTTTACAGTCGTTGCTAGGTGACGGCCACGCAAGCAAGTGCCGTAATGGAAAGACTTCCGCACATCCCGGTCATTCTGCTTTTACTGAAAGCTTTTGGACATACAGAAAGCAACTTGCGTCCATCTGCCGCAAAAATATTATGCACATTCAGAACATCACACAGCGTCTGCAGAAGCTGTTTTTGGAGGAGACAAGCAGACATCACTGTGTTTGTCCTGGCTCAGTCCCGCGCGTGTCACCAAGGTACGAAACAAGACACACACACAAACAAACGAACGTCATGAAAACAATAGTTTGTTGTACAGGTGGCAGTTCACTATAGTTCACTTCCGTTATTTGGTACGATTCCATTCACATCTGAAGTGAACCGTACCAGAGTTCGCATGAACCGTACCCCAGACCACCTCTTTCAGGCGGACTCGGGTACGGTTCACGGGTTCGCACCCAGGTCCAGAAGACGCATTCACACTAGTTAAATGTATAGTACTATGACGTCAAACGAACTCGGGTGCGGACCAAAAGTGCTACTGTGCAAGCACCCTAAAGCTGTTGACATGGGGTTGAACCAGATTTTGGTAAAAACCCAAACAATATAAAATTAAAAATCTGAAAAAGTATTTATGGTTTATGGTATTATTATTTTTTGGTGCTGGCAGCTTAAAGACATCTCTCATATGGAGAATGAAGTCACATTCATTGCTTTGAAGTCACATGAGTTTTTCACAGCGCTTTAGCTGCTGTCTGGGCTTTCACTGCCTTTCTACACCTCCCTTTTTTCATGTGTTCAGTACTCTTTCTCTGCATCATTTTATTTTATTATACATAACTTCTTTTGTAAACTATATTGTTTCGTTTTCTGTGCATATTTGGATTTCTTTGGTTGTTACCAACATCTGTTGAACATTTCAAGTAAACTGCACCTTTAGAAATGTGTTTTCTGAGAAAAAGGTGACTCAATACCTATTCCCCCCCCCCCCCCCCACTGTATATCAAGACAAGAAGGTATTGTGCTGATGTTGACTCAAAAAGCTGTCTATATAATCAGCAAGAATTTGTCACCTGTGCTGAATATGTTTTAACCTCATGCAGTCTTGTTCCTCTCCTACTAATTAATCACGCATGAATGAAATCATTCTAATGTCACATGCTAATTTGCCGGGCACAAGCTTGTAACTATCAGTGGCGGTCTGCAGACCTCCAGAGACTTGCGCACTGAAAGCAAGTGCATGTTGCTTTGTAATTGAAATGGGACCTCCTGCCCTCGCCGATTAGCGGTCCGCGGCTGAAAGGGACTCTGGGGTGGGAGAAGTGACAGGACCTGTCAGGACGCAGGAGCACATTTCTGCATTTAATATGCTCTTGTGGCCCTGTGGCACTGACTGCCGCTACAGAAGGTGAGACTAATCGCTCTGTGAAATATTTGTTATGGAAATCTTCCTCGAGGGCCGTTTGTGTTTACAGTGAAGAGGGATTTTAATAAACACACACACACACACACACACACACACACACACACACACACACACTCACACACACCTGTTGTGGCTGATTTCCCTGCAGTCAGTTGTGTAACTGCTGAAACTAAAACTAAAGCTATGTTTTCTATTAATCCATCCATCCAAATCCAATCCATCCTAATCTATTCATGCCAAATCCATTCATCCATCTATCCCAGTCCATTCATCCATCCATCCATACATTCATTTATCCAATCCCGTCCATCCATACATTTATCCATCCGTCTGTCTATTTCCAGTTCAATCCAATGCATCCATCTATCCATCCATCCAATCCTCCATTCATTCCAATTCAATCATCCGTCCATCCATCCCTCCATCCATGCCATCCCAATCCAATCATCCATCCAACCAATCTATCCATCATCCATCCATCCATGCATTCATTCATCCCAATCCATCCCAATCCAATCCATCCATCCATCTATCCATCCCAATTACAGCTATCCCAGTCCCATTCATTCATTCATTCATCCATCCATCCATTCATCACAATCCATCCCAATCCAATTCACTCATCCACTCATCCATCCATCCCCATCCAATTAATCCCTCCATCAATCCATCCGACATCCATCCATCCATCCATCCATCCATCCATCCATCCATGTCTTTCCAGTTCAAACCATTGCATCCATTCATCCATCCATCTCAATCCAATCCAATCCATCCATCATCCTAATCCATCATCCATCCATCCATCCATCCATCCATCCATCCAAGCTTCCCAATCCAACCATCCCCATCTATCCATCCATTCCAATCTATCCATGCATCCCAATTCCATTCATCCATCCATTTATGCCTATCCAATCCATCCATTCATCCCAATCCATCCATTCATCCATCCATCCTAATTCATCAATCCATTAATCACAATCCAATCCCTTTATCCCAATCCAATCCCTTTATCCCCATCCAATCAATCCACCCATCCATCCCAATCCATCCAATCCATCCATCCCAATCTATTCATTAATCTATCCTAATTCATCCATCCCAACTCCATCTATCCCAATTCATTCATCCATCCCAATCTAATCCATCCATCCATACATACCTTTCCCATCCGTCCCAATCCCATTCATCCATCCCAATCCCATCCATTCCACATTTATCCATCCCAATCCCATCCATCCCAATCCAATTCAAATGTCTGTCTGTGGTTTTGTTGTCATTCTGTATATTTTGCCTGCCTGTCATTTTGACATTTGACATAAATCTTTCTCTCTGCCATTCTATCCATTTGTCTATCTGTCTGTTTGTCCATCTGTTTTTTCTCTGTACATTTATCCATTCTTCTGTCCATTCATTCATTCATCCATCCATCCATCCATCCATCATCCATTTATCCATCTGTCCGTCTGTTTATCAGTCATTACATTTTGCTCTATCATTTTATCATTCTATATTTTGTTCCTTTTATCGTTTCTTCTGTCATTCTGGGCTTAAATAAGAAATATATATATATATAGTAAACTATTGCTTTGGTCGCACTCCTGAAAACTTTTTTACTGACTGGAAACATCCCAATTTGTCAAGCTGCACTGTTCACTTTGGGGGGAAACAATGTTTTTAACTGGTTTTTCTGATTGAAAAGGTCTGACTAGTAAAAAATACATTTTAACACTGCTCTCTTCTCTTCGCAGATTCCATCGACAGTTCGCTCCATCCATCAAGATCGCATTCTGTCACTCCGGCAGCAGACGCAGTTCCTCTGGGAAGCGTATTTCTCCTCTGTGGAGAAAATCGTTCTCACTACACTGGAGGTGAGCAACTGTCTGATGAATGATGAGCTAATGACCGGTCGGATGTCATGTTTCAGCTCTAAAATGAACAGAGAAGAACATTTGAAACTAGTGTGTAGGAATTGAAGCTTATTTTAGGACCATTATGATAGGGCTGCATTGTGATTTGTTCAGCATCATTCCAGAGTTGTCATTACTGAAATGCATTCAAAATCAGATGTAATTATCATGAGTTTGACTTCTC